AGCCAGGAGTGGCTTCCAAAATAATACTCATCAATAAAGATTCAGCAAATAACATCATCATGGGATGTGATCCCTCCACCAATGATGACAACAAAATATAAAAATAAAAAAGGCAAGCTTCGTACATCCTGGAAAGGCTGAGCTCAAAATATACTCCCTCTTCAACAAGCTACAAATAAAAGAACTCACTACTTGAAGATAAGCAGAAGCAGCAGGATGCATCACACTACTAGAAATTTGCAAAATAACGACCGAAATTAGCGACCGAAATTTATCATTCGCTATTTAGTGAATGATTTAGCAATCGATTATAAATAATCAAAATAGCGACCGATTTAACGACCAAAGTAAGTCGTCGCTAGAAAATTGGTCGCTATTTCGGTCGCTAAATATTTTATCGACGAAATTAAATTCGGTCGCTATGTCGGTCGCTAAATTAGAAATTTTGATTTTTTTAGTGATAGAATTTAACTCGGTCGCTAAATATTAGTTAAAATTAGCGATGAAATTAAATTCGGTCGCTAAATATTAGTTAAATTTAGCGACATAATTGAATTCGGTCGCTAAATACTAGTTAAATTTAGCAACCGAATTCAATTCAGTCGCTAAATTTAACTAATATTTAGCGACCGAATTCAATTTGGTCGCTAAATCAGAAATTTTTGATTTTTTAGCGACGAAATTAAATTCGGTCGCTAAATATTAGTTTAAATTAGTGGTCAAATTCAATTTGGTCGCTAAATTAGAAATTTTATTTTTTAACAACCGAATCAAATTCGGTCGCTAAATATTAGTTAAAATTAGCGACCGAATTGAATTTGGCCTCTAAATAGTAGTTAAAGTTAGCAACCGAATTCAATTTGGTCGCTAAATATTAGTTAAATTTAGCAACCGAATTCAATTCGGTTGCTAAATTAGAAATTTTGATTTTTTTAGCGATAGAATTAAATTCGGTCGCTAAATCAGAAATTTTGATTTTTTTAGTGACAGAATTAAATTCGATCGCTAAATATTAGTTACAATTAGCGATGTAATTCTATTCGGTAGCTGAATATTAGTTAAAATTAACAACACAATTCTATTTGGTCGCTAAATATTAGTTAAAATCGCTAAATATTAGTTACAATTAGCGATGTAATTCTATTCGGTAGCTGAATATTAGTTAAAATTAACAACACAATTCTATTTGGTCGCTAAATATTAGTTAAAATTAGCGACGAAATTTTATTCAATCACTAAATAAAACTCAAAAAAAATTATAAATTGTTTAAAAGTGATGATAATATTGTTATGGCTTAAATATGTTTTTAGTCCCTCAAATTTAGGGTAAATTTGTTTTTGGTCCCTCAAATTTAAAATTATTATTTTTAGTCCCTGTAATTTTAAAAAATCTTAATTTAATCCTTATATTCAAATTTTTTAAAGAAATTTATCAAACATTATTGCATAAAGTCTACCTATTCGTGTCCTTATTAGTGAAAATATCACATTAAATCCGGTTGATATTGCATAACTGTCTTAATTAGTCACTTTCAAATATGTTATTGGTGACTTAAGGGACTAAAACAAGATTTTTGAAAATTACAGGGGCTAAAAATAATAGTTTTAAATTTGAGGGACCAAAAATAAATTTGTCTTAAATTTGAGGGACTAAAAACATATTTAAGCCTATTGTTATTGTGTATCAATCCCATTTTTTTTGTTTGTAATAACAAGACATTAATTTATAATAAAAAAATATTTATATGCACTCCTACATAATTAATACCAATAGTTATTTATGTGAAAAAATATTTGAGGTTTTTTTTACAATTGGATTTTTAGGCAGTTTTTTAATTAGAGTATATGAATTTTTTAAAATTTCTTATTTATTTTGATCCATATTTATAATATATATTTCTAACTTATGATAACTTTATTTTTAAATAATTTTTTATATTTAAATTTTATTGATAGAAGAGATGTGATATTTTAAGGAAAAAAAGAATTATAACATCCTCTCTTTTTCTAATAAGAAGAGTACAAATGTATTTTCTTAACTATTAGTATTTCTTTATTGTTGTGTGATAAAATTGATTATTTTAAATTATTTAACTAGAATCTTATTAATAATTTACTATATGATTTTAATATTTTTGTATAACTAATATCTGATTTTAAACTTGATATGAAAATATTATGATATAACTAGATAAGATTTTAAATTAGTATTTTATTAATGGTTGATAATTAGAAAATAAAACAAGGATAAATACATTTTTTGAATTTTATATCTTAGATTTAAGATGAATAAATATATTAAGTTAATTAATAATTTATTTAAAATGTTAAAATTTAATTTATAAAAA